TCGTGCACTGCCCACCGGTGATCTACGAAATGCTTGGATATTAATTGTGTGGTGCATATATTATCTACACTCGTGGAACGCCACCACTTAGTATCTTCTTAATACCATCTTAGTGCTACNCACTTCATATGTCCTTCATAGCTACCTGGTAACATTCTTAATAGGCCGCTTAGTAGGTCACTTAGTATCATGTTACATACTAATGGTACTCGAAGCGCTTAGTCCCGAATACTAAGTCCTCCAAACAAATATTAAGTGACATTTATTAAGAACTTCATGATCAAGCAATTATGAAGTAATAAATATATGAAGTAACATTTACTAGGGGCAAATGCTTGCTCAATAGATGATTCTAAGTAAGGAATTACTTTCTGGAGGTGTAAGATTGACATTTCACTGCCACTGTTGAGCTGTTCGGGCTCACATTTACGAAAGTTTTAAATCTGGGACAGATGTAAGCTAAATACCTTGCAGCGCTGCAAGAGCTTTTGTAACATTCTTGCTTAGTTCTGTGAGATAAGAAAAAAGATATTAAAGTTACTTTGTGTGTTTGGCAGTTAGCTAGTAGAGCTGCGACATACGAAGCTCTTATCGCCGTTGGTAAGTATCACTGTAGTTGGTACCAAGATGGCCCTAAGTAATTACTAAGCGGATAAGTGGCATCTTAAGATAGTTCCGTTCCACGAGTGCTATATATATATATAATAACTAGCTAGATAGTACAGCGGGGTAGCGATACCAGGTATATATACCAGGTATATAATGAGTTATTACATATTATTGTATATGTGTGTTTATGGTTAATGATATATTATTACGTATATCATCATTCATGTGGTTCATAATTACAGCCATGAGGTTGTTTGATAGAGTCGACTCTATCTATCTCCTTGCTTGTAAGTGGATGTTTCTATGATGCGCCATATCTTTCCCGATCCCCTTCAAGAAATTATCATCATAATAGTTGCGCGATTGCGCCTCGTGCATTGTCGTACGTGAATGTGTGTGTGTTGTGTGTGTGTGTTGTGTGTGTGTGCACACGTGTGCGTGTGCGTGTCTGTGTGTGTGCGTGTCTGTGTGTATGCGCGCGTGCGTACGCTATACACACGCGTGCTATACGGATGTGTGTGTATAGCAGCTGCAGTACAAGGTGTATATAAGGGGCAACTCGGTCCCCTCAGGAGAAGCAAGAGGGAGTTTGGTCTAGTGGTATGATTCTCGCTTCGGGTGCGAGAGGTCGTGGGTTCGATTCCCGCAACTCCCCTTTTGGACGTGGTGCGCGACGGCGTCTGCATGCGTGCCGACGCATGGATCATGTATGGATCATCGGGGTGCAGAACGGATGTAAACCTGGTGGAGGGATGCATCCAATTCCCCAAAATGCACGAGGTGATGATGATGGTGATGATGAGAATGCACGAGACGGTTCCGGTTCACTTCTCTGCCGCACACAATTGTGTGCAACCATCTACTACCCGGACATGCACCAGGCACTACTCGGGAGAGCTAGCTAGCTAAACAG